GAGTCCGAGTGGGGAGAGGCTGGAGTGGGCGGCCCCCTACCCACTCTGGGCCACCAGCTGGCCCTGCCCCTCTGCAACACTTTCTCTCAGGGGAGCCCTGCAGGGGCTCTGCACCCGCTCTGGACTGGGCATTCTCTCTCCACTTCCCAAGAGCCCCTTCCAACAGTGCTGCCATTTATACGCCGTGTATAGGTGAAGGCTCTGAGGTTCAGAGAGGTTAAGTAACTTGTTCAGAGTGACACAGCGTATCAGTGGCCCCAACAGGATGACAACCCAGAGCCTTCCACTGTCCAGCGGCGAGGTGAGCATGGCCCATTGCCGGATGCTCGCCCACATCCGGTTTTAAATCCTGGTTTTATTACGAGCCTGGGCCCGCAGACCTGGAGGCAGAGTGCGCCAGAAAAAAGCAGCTCGTTTTAAAAATTGGCGCAAACCAGATGTAACCGTGAAGGTAAAGGTCATGAGAAACACGTTTTAGGACGTGCTCTAAACCCAGCCCGGCTGCCTGAGGACTGGGGGGCCGGTGGGGGAGCGGGTTTGTTCTCCGCCTGCTGTGTGCAGGACCGGTGGGGGTGGCGCGGTGCGGCCACCAGCCTGGAGAAGTGCCCAGCCTCGGGGGCTTAGCGTCCAGCTGGGAACGTGGGAAAGAAAACCCGCCTCTGTGGCGCATTTGCTGGGCGCCGGACGCTGACTGCGCCACGCACTTTGCCTCCATCCTCTTCCCGTGAGTCGTCTGAAGATACAGGCTATAATTAGTCCCTTTCTACAGATGAGCAGACCGAGGCTCAGAGATGTGGGGTCACTTGTCCAAGGACACAGACCAGAAAGGGCAGGGAGCCCCGGGCTGGCCCGAGCCCTCTCTCTGGACCACACCACTCCACCCTGTCCGTACCCCAGCCCGTCCCCTTTTGGTCAGGCCCCCTTCGGACCCTCTGTCGTGGAGCTTACGGTAGGACAGACTACACGGAAAGGGGTTTCCAGAGAGGGCGTGGCAGGGGCAGGAGGGCTTCCCAGGAGAGGGGCACCCCAGCTGGGCTTTGGCAGCTGGGCAGGGCTGCCCAGGCTAAAGGGAGGAGAGATTAGCGTTCTGGGCAGAGGGAACAGTGGCCGGTGCAGTGCGGAGGCCGGAATAGTAAGGAGCTTAAGCGGAGTCTCCAGGTGGGGGTGTGGGCAGAGCATCCGTGTCGCTGGTGGCACAAGGACGGCTGGCGTTCCTGCCCTGCCCTGATCCCTGAGCTTGGACCCACAGGGGAAGTGGAGGCCCTGTTAACTTCACACTTGGCTGGGCACGGATCCTGGGAAGGTCGCTCGGCGTCTGGGTGGAACGGAGGCAGAGGGAAGCAGGACCCCAAAGTGTCCCCATGCCCCTCCCTCTCAGTGCCTGCGGAGGTCAGCGCTGCTGGGGGCATGACCTTGGGCAGGACCCCCAGCCCTCCTGGCGTTGTGTGGGGGCACACAGTTCTTGGGGTGGAGGACAGACATCTCCCCCAACTTTTTATTTTGAAACATCAAGAGGAACATTGAAATAATAGTGCAATGTGTCCTTCCAGATCCCTCCCTTTCTATGCATGTGTGTATGTCGCTGAACCGTCTCACATGGGCCTGCCCCACCCTGACCCTTACCCTAAATACTCCAGGGCGCCCCCCGACCTGAGGTAGCCCCAGTGCTGTCACCACCCCCGGGAAGATCCACAGGGAGCCTGTCACAGCATCCGGTTGCCCGCCCACAGCTCAGCTTCCCAGATGTCCGGTGACAGCCGTTAGAGGGCTCCTTCCTCCCGAGCCAGGACCCGATCCAGGCATCACGAGTTACGTTTGGTTGCCTCGTGTCTTTAGTCTCTTTTTCCGGAACAATCCTCTGACTTGCTTTGCTTTTCGTGGCACTGACTTGAAGTGTCCTGGCCAATTGTCTCGTAGAATGTCCCGACTGTGTCCCTGTAGTTAGGCTGCATATTTCTGGCAGGAGAACTCCACCCATACGGCATCCTTCCGCCGCGTCGAGTTAGGGCGCACGGGACGTCAGGTTGTTGCACGACTGGGGAGGCCAGGTTTGATCAGGGACGGTCACTTCATATCTTCATAGTTATGCTTTGATTGTGTATTAGAAAATATACAACCAGAACAAGTCACTGCTAATTTTATGGATATTATTGCCTAGACTGAAGCTAGATTAGGCAAGTAAGGAAAAACATGACTTAAGGAAAAATCCTGAGTGCACCATCAGACAGGTGGGTAGGGAGGAATCTTGAAGGTGGTCTGGGACGGCTGGGCTTGTGGAAACCCAGACGGAATGGTTAGGAACGAGGCCTCGGGGCTGGGCAGACTGAGGCTGAGGGGCCACCTTTTGGCAGTGGCCTTGGGTACGTTCCTCACCATGTTGGGGTGGTGGCTGCTAAGTGGGGGCTGGGGTTTGGGCGTGGACCTGCTTGGCCCGTGCTGGCTGGCAGGGGGTGGGGGCAGGTGGCCAGGCCCCCAGAAACGTGCCCCTGCCTGTTGCCCTTCAAGACCCTCCAAGGCCCCAGGCAGTGAAGCCGTTAGGATTGCTGGCCCTGGCCTCGTGCTAGGGGACACCTGGCAGCCTCTACTCTTTCCTAAAGGTCAGTTAGCTGCTTAGAGCATCAGGTAGGCTCACACCGTCACTGGCTCAGGCCCCCGGGGGCTCGGCTGCCTCTGATGGCCCAGTGCTCTATAGGGAGGACCGTTTTAATGGGGGCAGCCAGCCACGTCCCTCCTCCCACGGCTGCTGCTCCCCAGGAGCTGGTGGAGGTTGAGGGAGGACGGAAGGCTGGGGCAGAGGGCCGTGGGGCACTGTTGAGATGGGGGGCGGTCAAGGAAGAGTTGGGACTTCTGAGCTGGGGGCTCCCAGGGAAGCCCCTCTCTGGCCCTGTGAAGCCCAAGCCCACCTTTTGTCAGCAGTGGCCCTGCCATGAAGCTCCTGCTGTTTCTGTTGTGTGGTGCCACCCCTTGCCAAGGTCACACGGGCCACGCAGCTCCGTGGCATACTTGTGGTGGGGGTGCACCAGTGTGGCATCCATCCTGTCCCCTGGAGGCACGGTCCTGGCCCTGCTTCCCCTAGCAGGGTGATCGCAGGTGACCCTGGACAAGGAAGCAGGCCCATCTGAGCCTCCGTTTCCTCCCTGGGACGACAGGATCACACCTGCCTCTGGAACCCTTGTGAAGGTGGAGAGTGGCAGGCACTTTAGTCTTCCCAACAATCTCATTTTACAGATGAAGAAACAGGCTCAGAGAGGGGCAGCAGTTTGCCCGAGGACACACAGTGAGTCTGAGGCTCAGAGAGGGGCAGCAGGTTGCCTGAGGACATACAGTGAGTAAGCTGTGGGGCTGGGTGTGAACCCAGGTGGTCCAGTCTGGCCCCAGCCTGCGTCCCCGCTCCTGGCTGTGCTCCTGGCTGTGCTGTGACAGGTCACCCGCGTCTCCAGGTTCTGGCTTTCCGCACCAGCCCCTGTGCCCCAGCTGTCCCTCATGGCAGCTGTGGGTGGCAGGTCCCAGGCAGCCAGTCCGGGTCAGGCCAGGGTTGCCTTCCTTGTCCTCCCCCAGGCATCCCCCTTCCCCCATACCCTTGCTGGAACTTTCTCTTGGAGAATTGCGCTCTGCGACTCCAGGCCGGCCTTTCCAGGTACCTGGCATCTCCCACTCGCTCTTTCTGTCAACAGCCTGCTGGGGACAGGTCTCTTCCCATCTCCGATTTGGGCTTGTCGGGGGAGAGTGCCAATCAGGACAGGGCGGAGTCTTCCGGCCCACCCTGGAGCCTGACTGCCGGGCTCTCTGCCGCACACCTGAGTTCAGACCCTCACTCCCTGGCCCCCTTGTGCCTCAGTTTCCACATGTGGAGCCCAGGGAGAGTAATGCTGTCTTCCCTTGGTGCTATTGCAGGGCAGCACGGAGGCCCCCCGCGCCCACTGCCCGGCGTGGATCTGGCCCACAGAGAGCTCTTGCAGCTGGTGGTTGTTACGAGCTTGCTTCGAGCGGTTTTTGACAAGTGGCTTCCTCAGGTGTGTTCAGGCACAAGCAATTCAGAGAGACCCTCTTGGGCCTTCCTTCCCAGTCCCCTGGGAAGAGATTCCAGTTCCTTTACTCACCTGGCCTCCACCTAACCTCCCCTTCCTTTCCCTTCGTGCGTTCGTTCATTCGTTCGTGCCACAAACGCGTAGTGAGCGTATTCGAGCGCCCAGCTGTGCCGGGACCAGCAGCTGCCATACCCCCTACGACTGAATGCCCAGATAGCGCCACGTGGCAGGTGTTATTGCTGCTACGAAGGAGGAAGCTGAGGCACGGTCACGCAGGCAGGGAGTGAGTGTGGCCTTGGAGGTGGTCCGATGTTCTTGTTCAGCGACTTCAGAGAGAACGTGCTTTGGTTCCAACCTGAACCGATTCGGCGTTTTATTGTTTGGTTCGAGGTTCAGTGAAGGACTGTTTGGCTCGGCTTGAGGTTCAGCCACTTTACGTGGCTCGTTCCAGCCTTTGGTTCGTGGCTCCGTTCGTGTCTCGCTGGCAAAAGAACTGGACTGAGCACTGAGAGGGCTGGAGGGGGGCCGAGGCAGTGGGGGGCGCTGCGGGGACAGCGCCTGGGGAAGCTGGGCCTTCTCTGCCTGTCTGTCCCCAGGACTGAGATGGGAACGAATGTGTCTTAAACGCTGAACTGGGAGCGACAGTCCTGCCCGGCCACTCCCGGGACGGCAGGGAGAAGCAGGCCCTTGAGCATAAGGGGGCGTCCTCGGGGGTCCTCACAGCAGCGCAGCACAGCGGGCACTGGCAGCGGGCGGGGCCGGTGTTGTCCCCTGTGGGGGTGGCCGGGCACAGCGCCCCTTACCGGGGCTGTTTACCAAGACATCATTTTCCTGTTCAGAGCAGGCCGGTGCCCTGACGTGGCCAGGCAGGCTGTGGGGTGGGGAGGGCGGGAAGGGAGGGCCCCCCAATGAATGCCTGGCCCTGGGGACACCACCCTGAGCTAAAGGCCACTTTTCTGTTTTCTCTTGCAGTTACCGAGAAGGAAGTCCAGCAGTGGTGAGTAGCTGCTTTTTCCCAAACTGTTGGGGGGCTGGAAGTGTTGCCTTTGTGCTGATGGGGACAGCGGTGCAGCTGCCCAGGAGGGGACGCGTGGAGGGGACTCTGAGAATGGTTCATCCACGTGCCAGTTCAGGCACCTTTGTTCAGAATCTTTTGTTCACGTGGATGGACGCAGTTTCAGTTGAACTGGGTTGGGGGTGGTGTTGGGGTGCCGGTGAGTCCTGGCCTTGTGTAGCATCTCTAAGGACCACCAGGTCCTGCTCTCCAAAGGGAGGGGTGTGGGAGGGAAGTCAGGAGGCCGGGTCCCTAGCCAAGTCACCCACTCTGCGGCCTTGAGAAACCTCTTCCCCTCTCAGGGGCTCAGTGGCTCCTTCTATAAAATGATCGATTAGACTGGATCAAGGATGGCAAATAGGTTTTCTCTTGTATGCCAGCTCTAATTGATCTGTAGTGGCTGCCTGGTGCTGTGTTAAGAAGGATTCTGAGGCTGTACGTCACGGAGTGAATGGAAAGCATAGCAGTGAGGGATTAGTGAGGTCTGTGATGGATTAGTGATGCCTGCCCTGGGCGAGGAGGTAGGACAACAGCACGTCTGGCGTCGTGACCCGGAGGCTCACACTGTAAGGTGAGCTTGAGCTGGGGGCTGCAGGTGGGGGAATGAGGGGTGAGCTCGGAGACCTTCCAGTAAAGTGTGGGGAGCAGGACGGGGCCCCCGCAGGGCCACTCCTCCATGTTTTGAGTCCAAGCTGCAGAGGCGCAGAGCTCTGGCTGGCCTGCCCCGTGCAATTGGCCCCGTGTTGGATACCCCGGCAGGGGGCAGGACCTGGATGGTGAGCGGGCTGAGGCCTGGCAGGGGAGTGGAGGTGGGGGAGCAGCCACCTGGGGAGGGGGCACCAGGAGCTGTCTGCCTGGGGCTGGCCCAGGGCAGGGAGAGGGGGAGGTCTGTCCTGGAGAGCTGTGGGCCCTTCCGGAGCACCGCCGTGGGCCAGGCAGGCTGGCAGAAACAGCCTTGCTTCCTCCTCGCGATCACCCTCGGTGGAGGAGCCCAGCGCGGCGTCTCTTGGCTGAGGGTGCTGAGCGCTGCCCGAGCTCCTGCCCACGCCTGGGCCTTCTCCTGGAGAGAAAGGTGGCAGCGTGGCCAGGAGCGCGGGCGCCAGAGCTGGGCTTGGATCCTGACTTGCCCACCTCCTGGCCAAATGCTCTTGGACAAGTGACTAGACTTCTTGGGGCCTCAGTTTCCCCACCTGGAAAGTGAGGGTAATAATGGTCAAACGTTATAGGAACAGTGTGACGATTAAATGCGCTAATCTATGCCTAGCAAGTGTTCTCCGTGGGCGTTGACACCGTAACAGTCACAGCCCGGCGTCTCCTCCCTGCGAGCCGCAGACACCTGACACCATGAGTTCCCCGCTCAGTAGGCGCACGAGGCCCGGATGGACGAGGCGATTTTCGTTTACTCATCAAGCATCCATGGAGCACAGGCTCTGTGTCGGGTGCTGTCCCACACGCTGGGGACACGTCACACACTGGACAGCGTCCCAGCCCTGACATGCATGTAGATGCCAAGCGTAGATGCCAAGCGAGACCACCGCAGGCGGAGAAAAGTGCTTTGGGGCGTGACGATGTGGTCGGGAGGGGCGCGGCCCGTGTAAGATGCAGAGGTCGGTGAGGCTCCTCTGAGATGCTGGCGTGGGCACTACCGGGCGGGACTCACCCGCGGAACCGGGATGGCACGACCCAGGAGTGCAACCGAGCGCCGAGGCCCTGGGGTCATCCTTACTGCAGTGGCACTGTCTCTCAAGAGCTTATAAAGAAAATCTTTCCTTTGCCAGAAAGTTCTGTGGACCTCAGGTAAATGCCCTTTGGTTCATTTTGGTGGCACCTTCAAGGGTAGGAGATAGTCGAATCAATGCCTTCCTCTGGCCCTCCTGGGTCAGCGCCACCCTCCCCCGCCATGATATTCTATTAAAAGAACGGCCACCTCCTCCCAGGGCACACTAGACCCTCATTAGACAGTGACCGTCTCCCCTCCTATGCCCCTGGCAGACATCGGTAATGGATCACAGAAAAGGTCGCTCTGGATCAGTCTCCCCCAGTGCTTTGGGCAGCCAGTGGGACTGTTGCTGCCACGCAAAACCAACCTGTCTGTTATCCCTCGACTGGCCTAACCCTCACTGGTTAACCGGGACTGTAACATGAGCCTGCCAGGTTGCAGCTAGGTCCCTGCAGTCCGCTGTCCCCTCTGTCCTTTGCACAGGAGGCTGATGGGATAAGCTCCTGCATCCCAAGCGCCCCGGCCCATTTTCAGAGGACCGTTTCACCGTGGCCTCCAGCTGGTGCCTGTTCTTGTCCCAAACGGCTCTTGGGGCACCGCAGCTGGGGCTCCACCCAAGCCTGCCGCTCCCCTGAGTAGGCTTGGGTTCCGGAGCCCAGCCCACCGGGTCAGTAGACAGTGGCCAAGCCATCCCGGGGCATGGGGAAACTGAGGGAGGGACATACAGAGAGCAGCGGGCCGAAGTGGACGTGGCTTTCCTTCCCAGCCGGCAGCGCCAGGGTGGCTTCAGCCAGGGAGGCGGCCCCACTTCCCCCTAGGTCTCCCCGCCTTCACCACCCGTGTGTGGCTCCTCACTTCTCTGCACACGTGTCCACAAACCCTCTCCTTCCCTGGCCTCACATCCAGCTCCTCTGCCCGGCCAACCTTCCTCCCCTGGACGGCAGATCTTGAGTCTGACCTTGCCCACTGCCTCACTGGGCCCCTGGCTGTGTGCCTGCCCTGCCGTGCTCCTCTCCACGCGGCCTCCCGAGAGCTATGGAAGGTGGAACCAGCCCCTTCATGGCTTCCCACTGCATTTGGAATAAAGCCCCAGCTCCTTGCCGGCCCACGGGGCTCCCCAAGGTCTCTGACCTCACCTTTTCCCCAGGGTCACCAGGCACCAGCCACAATCACTGTCCCTCTCCCATGCCAAGCTCATCCTGCCTCAGAGCCTCCATCCTTGCTATTCCCTCTGCTGTTCCCACAGCCACCAGCCTCAGCATGCCCAGCTCCAGCTCATTTGCCACATCCTCACTCCCTGTCGGCTCCTCAGAGAGGAGGTCCCGGTCTCGCCCGCATGACGTCGGATCCTCTGGTTTTGTGCTGACTTTCAGCAGCTGCCATATAGGGCTCTTGTGGGTTCTGCGATTTGTCCCGGGCCATGCACTGAGTAGAAGAGCCCAGACTAGAACCCAGGTCCCAGTGCTAGTCAGGTCCCAGGTCCCCCGGGAAAGCCCGGGCCATCAGGAGCACAGGCCACAGTGATGGGCTGTCCACACTCACCCTGCACTAGGCTGCACGCTGGGTGCCCCATGGTGCCAGCTCCTGGGCTCCCCCCAGCTCCGGGCTGCTGGTGCAGTTGTCTGTGTTCGGCAGAGGGAGGAGGCTGGAGCTTCAGGGCCGCAGCCAGCCCGGTGCCCCCTCCCCGGACCTCTGCTGCCTCGACCTCCTGAGGTCCCACTCACCTGAGCCGGCTCTCTGCTGTGGGGGATCAGGGGCCACTGCGGGAGCTGGTTAAGGAATGGCAGCAGGTCCCAGGCGCCTCATCACCTGGTGAGTGACGAGGATGTCATCCTGAGTGGAAACAGCAGGGCACACACGGTGTGTCTGACAAAATTCTGTGATGGAAAAAATGCAGGTGGAGAAGAAAGATGGGAGGTCAGCTGCTGGGGTGGGGTCCTGGATTACGAGTACTTTTTTCTCTTATATTTTCTATTTTCCCAATTTTCCATAATGTTTTTTTTTTTTTTTTTTTGAGACAGAGTCTCACTTTGTTGCCCTGGCTAGAGTGAGTGCCGTGGCGTTAGCCTAGCTCACAGCAACCTCAGACTCCTGGGCTCAAGCAATCCTTCTGCCTCAGCCTCCTCAGTAGCTGGGACTACAGGCATGCGCCACCATGCCCGGCTAATTTTTTCCATATATTTTTAGCTGTCCAATTAATTTCTTTCTATTTTTGGTAGAGACGGGGTCTCGCTCTTGCTCAGGCTGGTCTCGAACTCCTGAGCTCAAACAATCCGCCCGCCTCGGCCTCCCAGAGTGCTAGGATTACAGGCGTGAGCCACCGCGCCCAGCCTCCGTAATGGTTTTATATTTTTGTAATAACTAAATCTCCCAGCAGTATTATAACAAAAATAGCGGGTGGAAGGAGGAGGAATGCCGAAGTCGCCTCAACAGGGCCACTGTCAGTCCTGGACTGTCCCACACGGGCGTCGGAGGGAGGCTGCCTCTTGCCGACATCCACTGTGCCCCACCGGCCAGTCGCTGTGCTGGTACTTAGGACAGTGCTATGGGGCGAGCCGGGGAGTAGCCCCGTTTTACAGGTGAACAAACTGAGGCTCAGAGGGGTGGAGACACTTGCCCAAGTCACATGGCTCTGTGTGTGTGTTGCGGGGTCTGGGTCCAGCTGATGCCACCCCTGTGGCCCAGGCTTCTGGGGCTCAGACCTGCTGGCTTCTTGCTCTGGGAAACCCACAAACACACAGGCTGTGGTGGGAGGGAGAGGAAGAGGAACCGGCCTCGTGGACGTGTTTGGGACTGTCTTCCAGGCCTCCAGGGAGCTTGGGAGGGGGACGCCGCAGGAAGGGAGTCGTTTGAAGAGATAATGGGCGGATAATTTGCAGAGGCTGCCACGCGCAGTCCCAGCTGCGCTCGGCTCATTGCAGCTTTATTATTTACCCGTCTATCTATCTATTTCCCACCTTTCGCACCGCGGAAAGCAGCTGCTGCGATATCCTTGGCACGGAGGGCGACGCGGGCCGTGCCGACCGGCAGGGCCCTGGAGGGTGCGGTTCTGCGGGAACTGAGGGTGGCAGGTTCTGGGAAGACCTGGCGGGCTGGGGAGACGGAGGCCCTGGCAGTGTTGGGGTTTGCTTGGGGACCTCAGAGAACTAGAGGCCAAGCTGGAATTGGACCCTGGGTCCTGGTGAACATTCATTCATTCATTCATTCATACATCCAGTACATC